CAAAGGAAATGTGCAGCTAGTTTCAGCAGATATTCGTTAGTGAGGGTTAGAGTTATAAGAACATCTGCAAGGGAGACGATAGGTGGCACAGAGCCATCCACATTATCCACTTTTTATAAAAGAAATTAATTCAGCACTTCTCGAGCCCAATAAATAACATTACAAGTGACTTACCCCATAAAAGTGAATTTTTGCCACATTCTGGACCCAAAAAAGGGACCCAAGCTCCCCTCCCTATCCTATGTATAACAGAGCAGTCCCCCTCGGATTCATTCTCTCATTATTTTACAATCACAATAAAACCAAGCCTCTGAGGAGGTGAGAGGGATGCATTATGATCTAGGTTGGAAAAGTTGCATCCAATAGCTCACAGCTACACTAATTGCTGAGTAACTATTTTTACATGTAATTGGGGAACTTGTATTGACAGAAAATAAATTCACAAACTTTTCTAGGCATAGGGGGTCTGCAGGCACAATGTGCATTTCCAGCCATTTTGCACGGTTTTCTCTCATTTATAATATTTCGTTTCTAGTCCCAAATAACAGGTGGGAAATTTGTCGTCTCTGACCAAAAAACCATTTACATTCAAAACAAAGCAGAAAGTTAGCAAGAAGCTGTTTTAGCTAACGATTTTTTGCTTTCCATTCAACGATTTGCAAATTATTGATTTTTGCTTTCCATCCAAACGATTTGCAAAGTCGATCATGAATTCTTTGTTTTGGGATGATTGTGTTGTAATCGAGTGATTGGAAGAAGTTAATATGGCGACGTGAACATGGGAGTAAATACCGTATACGTCGATCTATGGCTTGTTTAAAACCGTAATAAACGAAGAAAGACGTGATTTGAGAATGAAATGTAAGTTGAAATTAACTTTATATGCCTCAAATGTTCCATCCTATGTTTCATAATGTAACTTCAGCTGTCTAAGTTCAAAATACAAGCTTGTGAAATTTGACAAATTTTGAAAATATGTAAAAATAGCTTGACTTTGAACTGTAGTTTCTCAAAAATAGCCTGTGGCCTCAATTTCAAATATAGCTAAATGAAAAGAAAAAACTTTTCGGCGTTTGTAGGTATCAAACATATCGTCAGGAAAATAGGGGCTCACAATGTTTTAGTTCAGTCTTTGAAACCCAGTTGCTTCGCATGTGTTGTGGTCAAATTTTTGCCAAGAATCAAAGGCCGAAATGTGAACTTCCTTCGTCAAAACCGCTTCGAGAATGGTCTAGTTTGAAAATTTAGCTATTAATTTCGATTTCACGAGCATATTTTGGTTACACGTTAAGTATTTTTGTGCTTGATGAGATTCAAAATTTGTTGTAATTTGTGTAATTTTGGTGATGACCGGAACAGAAATAAAGATATTTTAAAAACTGGCCGTGGCCTCACAATAAAACTTTCACAAATGTTCTCTGTTTCATGTACTTTTATTTAATATCTTAGGTATAAGCATAAAAATAGGGGCTCGTACAGTTTGAGAGGTTGTAAAATGCATGACTTGCCTCTATTTTCATGTAAACATTCGAAATTCTTCGACAGCAAAGTAGCAACTGTTTCAGATCGAATGCACACAGACAGCCCACCAGAGACAATGGCAGGGTACTGAAATAGAACGTCACTAAAAAATTCTGTATGATTAATTTAGATCATGTCTACTCTTTCAACATAAAACAGTCATTTATTTTGTACAAACATTTGGCAATATTTACACAATTGTGCCTTTTTGTAAACATGCGTTGCGTGTATTCCACGCGTGGCTCATTTTACTCGCGCATGCTCAGACAAATTTCCCACCTGTTGTCCCAAATATTTATAACTGTAAATCATCATGTTATCATCAATTGAAATATTCAATTGAATCAAATCTCCAATGATGGAATGTTCTTCATATAAAATTTCTGCTGGACTAAAATACTTTATATATATATTCAACACCCTGTTGGAGTTTCATAGCCTTGGTTAAAGATGCTTGCAGCTGTCAACGGACTATAAGTTCACTTGCAGCTTGCAACTGATCAATCCAGAGCACTTGCAGCTATGCATAGGGATTTAATTTTATACATTTTTTCAACCTGGTCTAAGTATGTTCTAAATATCAAACTGTCTAGCATCTTTTACAGCAGAAATGTTATTGAAAACAAAAAGACCTAATGTGCACATTGCGTCGTTTTTAAATGATAATAAAACTATCAGTGCTGTAAAAATTGACTACACGAATTTGTTTACAGGCCTGTAAATATAGCCACAGCCTATAAATAGATAGGCTTTATGCCTCAATAGTCAAAGTGAGTCCATACCTACCTTCCTGATTGAGCATTTGAGACAAAGACTTCCAAGCACAGTTTTATTGTCCTGTTCTTGTAGTTGGTATCACTTGTATCCCATAAACATTTAAAATCTGTAAGGGCTTGTAAAAACAATTCCTTATTGAATTCTCCAATTTCCTGCACCACATTTTCCAGCTCATTTTAGCCTCCAATGTACAGGGTGTATCAAAAAAGACGCAACCTCTGAATTTCCTAAGAAATCCACTTTGCAATTCTTAAGCATAAATGATTTTAGGCCCCTAGGAATTGAAATCGAATTGCTAATAGATCATATTACTGTTGTTGTACTGTTAAATAAATGCATAAATTTAAAATTCCCAGGCACCTAAAATCTTTTGTCCTTAAAACAATGTTGATTTCTTGGGAAATTCTGAGGTTGCGTTTTTATACTGTGTTCTAGGTAAATAATATGCACAGGGGTGGGAAAAGTATCGGAACCTGGGAACCTAGTTCCCAGACATTTGTTTTTAGTTGAGAGTTTTGCAGAAAATTTTCCAGAAAATATTTCAACATTTTGAGATAACTCTGTTTACTCAACTTACAAGTTACAACTTTTCTACTTTATTTACACTGTAACATCAGCAGCCTTTTAAATATTTGACAGAAATTAATTCTTTCACCCACCCCTGCCATCACAATAAGATAAAACGGTAAATATATGCTCTGCAAAGTCTCCAATAAATGCAAATTAAACAGTAAACAAATAAAAGTGATGGAATAAATAGGATGATAGGACACTTAGTTAAGCATTAGATCCTTCCTAGTTGGTCATAACTCATAACTGTGGTGTATAACAGACAACTATTGCGATGTACGAGTTTACAAAAACCAGCCTATTTAAGCCTATTATTACTAAAGTACAAATAATACAATAATTATGCATTTGTTTTGTTATTTTTGTAATTGTAACATTGCAAATTTTACAGAAAATTTCTAGACATCAACCTAGGTTCCCAGAAAGAAAACATTTTTTCCACCCCAGAATATGCAGCTGCTGACCCTCTTGAGATTGCATTGAAATCACTAGCATCTTTGAAGATAATTTATTTCCTACTTGTGCATGTTTGTTGCAATGATTGTCATAAAAATTGTCTATGGAGATCCGCCTCTATAGCTCCAAAGGCGCGTCAGGGGATGGGGAATCTTTTGATATAATACTCTTCCTTCCATCATTAGTATTTCTAAAACAATTAGTAATTTTCCTGCAACAATTATGATCTTTTATCATCTTTTATCCACTAGGATTTATTCCAAATTGCTTTTACTTATATGTTGCGACCTGGTTGTTCTGACAAGACGTGTAATAGCTCAAAAGATGCACCAGGAGATGGGAATTTTTTGATATTACACATTGTTCTATTGTTAGTATGTCTCAACCCTCGAAATTCACCTCGGCACTTGGCAATTGCCGAGGCAAGTTACGATTTTTCATAGTTTGCCTCTGCAAAAAAATGCCGAGGCATTTCCACCCGTTGTACCTTAAATTACAAACTACAGCATCTGTTCGTTTTTTTGCTTAAATTTACAAACTACAGTGTTCGTTTTTTGTACACTTCTTTGTGAACAATAGAAGATTTCATTCATAGTTACTTTACAAAATACCTAAATTTAAATAATTCAAGCTTGATGGTTAAAATCAGCAAGAAAATAAAATATTTCAGTGGCTTGTCCATTACCTTAGAAGTGAAGACCAGCAAAGTATCTCGAGATTTCTACAATTCTGCACAGGAAGTGATGGTGTTTCCCCATTAAAGTAAGAATAGAGAATATGAGTGCCATGTCAATGAGACCCAAAGTTCAAACATGTTTTTGTGTGTTGGTGATCCCCAAGAATTACCCAACCCAATCTTGTCTGCATGATAACATGGATTTCTATCAGTCGAACTGATTGACCAAACGTAATGTACAAAAATCGACATTGCAGCGTTAAGTATTCAATGTGGTCAACATTTCTTCCTATAAAGTTTTTTGAGTTTTATATAAAATATTTGTTCGTGGCATTACTTAATATTGTCGATGTTAATTGCGTTAAAAACTGTCATAGAAAACTTGATTTTCTCTGCCTATGGACAATGAAGACTGGATGTATGAATTAGCATAAGGTACATCACATTAAAGTTCACATTGTTATAGTACTTGAGTGGTCTATATAATGTATGCTGGAAAGATATGGCGGCTGCATGGGCAAAATTAGCTCTGTATTTGACATTGTTTTACGCTGTTTTGTGGTTTAATTCAAAGCAGATAAAGCAATCACCATGCTTTAAAAACAACTATAAAGCTTTGTTATCGCTTACACAGCATTTTATGTATCAGAGTTGCGAAAATCGCAGACTGGAAGTCCGAAATAAAATCCTTGTCCATCATGTGTCTGGGAAAATCTTGTTCCATGGAATGGAGTTAATACTGGTCGAAGATATAGCAAGAAATGTACGGTATATTATCGTAACTCTGGCATCATTCAATTTGTTGATTAAAGCAGGAGATGTTGTGACAAATCCCGGCCCTAATCACCCAACTACATCTGGTGAGCGTAAGTCAAGGCAATGTAATTCAAGCGAGGGTCGTCTTAGGGCTCCTAAGTGTATGCAGTGTGATAAGGCAGTTAAAGTAAATAACAAATGGTTGTGTTGCAACTACTGCTTAGAACTAACTTAGATACGATGTATGTCGCTTAAGAACCGTTTAATCCAGCATGAGAACTATTGGACATGTCCAAACTGTTTGGGAAGGGAACTACCATTTTATAATGTTCGTGACCTTAACGAAATTGATAATGATATGCTAGGATTAGAGCTAGAGGATGATTGCTATGTTGACCCACATTTGGAAATACTCTCTCGAAGTTCAAATCATTTGCGCTTATGTCATATAAATTGCCAGTCCCTGCTATCGACATTTGATGAGTTTCTCCATTTGATTTCAACGTATACATTCGATATTTTGACTTTATCTGAAACATGGCTTCGAAATAATACTCATCAAATCGCACATGTTCAAATTCCTGGGTATTCATTAGTATTCAACAACCGCGGTGAAAAGCACGGGGGCGGTGTTGCTGTTTATATCAGAGAAGAATTAAAATACAAAGAAAGAAATGATTTAATGAGGGTTGAGCCATCCTTTGAGCATATTTGGATAGAAATTGCAGGAAAGAATAAAAACAGTAATGTATTATTGGGTGTTTTTTATCAGCCTGATTCCGATCCTGCTAGAAAAGTCTTGTGGCTTGAAAAATTTGAAACAATCTTAGCAGCAGTACATTCAAAATGGGATGGTATTTTAGCAATAGCTGGTGACATGAATATTGATTTAAAGAATTCTTCAACAACCGCCTATAAATATGAAGCAATATTGCGTTCATTTAATCTTAACCAGCATATTAAAGACCCTACTCGTAAGGGCAAATGGTTAATTGACCACATCATAACTAACATTCCACATAATGTTGTAGCAACTGGTGTTCTACCTACACCTGAAGTCAGCGACCATGACATGCCATATATTATTGTCAATGCAAGACTAAGTAGATTTGAAACCAGATTTAAATATATTCGATCAGTGAAATCATTTTGTTCTGAAGAGTATTTGCGGGATATTAGCGAATTACCATTTTCACTGGTATATGCAGTAGATGATCCAGATGAAAAGATCTCTATACTAAATGAATTGCTCCGTAGCTACATTGACCGACATGCCCCACTTGTGCAATGTAAGATAACTCGACCTCCTGCTCCTTGGCTGCAAGATGTGAGCATTAAACATCCACAGAAAGAGAGACCATTTACCCATCAAACCCAAGCAGAGTCTGACTGGTCACTGTTCCGCTCAGTTCGTAATAAAATCAAAACAGCTATAAAAACTCCAAAACGAACATTCTATTCAAAAGCGTTATCATCAAAACGCTCGAAGGTTGTTTGGATGATAATACATCGAATATTAAACCCAAATAGGAAGAAAATCCGTCAAGACCCGGATGAGTTGAACAAGTTTTTTGTGACTACCTCAGAACACATTTTGGGTTCATACCCAAAACAAAGAGTCAATGTTGTCGAATATCTTGACTCCCTATCAGGATCTAGTGGGGATACATGCTTTAGGATGCGAAAGGTAAATTTTAGCAAAGTAAGCAAACAGCTTAATGGTATATGGATGATTATTCTACAGGTCATGACCATCTACCTGTGAACTATTTGAAAATGGCTTCCCAATATATTACCTCTCTGTTGATCCATATATAATTAACAAATGCATCGCACACAATATGTTTCCTTCCTCATGGAAAATGGGACGTATTAGTCCTATCCCGAAAATCAGTGAACCAATAGAGAATGGTGATTTTAGACCAGTGTCAGTGCTGCCAATTTTATCAAAGGTACTTGAACGCCTGGTGCTATCCCAACTTGTTGAGTATATTGAAGAACACAGTTTGTATAAAGAGACAATGTCCGGTTTCCATAAAGGTCACTCAACCATGGCCGTTCTGTTGAAACTGGATGATATCTTGAGAGCAATGAAAAAAGGGAAATGACATTGGCAGTCTTTACTGACTATTCAAAGGTTGATTTCCAGGTGTTACTGAATAAATTTCATCGCATAGGTTTTTCAAAGGATTTTTTTATATGGATTTATAGTTATTTAGATGGCAGACAACACTTTGTACAAATTGATGATCGACAATCAAGATTGCTGCCAGTAACATTCGGTGTTCCACAAGGGTCAATTCTACAATCCTCGCCAAAAGTCCTTGGGACAACCCAAAATTTTCAGGTGAAATATCAGTGAACAAAAGGCGCTCGCAGTCTATTTTAAAGCTGGAATCTGGAACATATACAGAGAGATGAAAATGTTATATTTCAAAATTGGCTGCGGTAGAATATGCAAGTCCGGTTGCAAGTCAAAAGCGAAGTGAAAACCTGCACAGGGTTTGGCGAAAGAGAAGCAAAGGAATGGAAATTGCCAGTAAAGGTTCTAAATAGCTCCCTGGTCTCCCTCGTACCCAGAATTGATCAAATTAATCCACGAGGCGCACGCAAAGGCCGCGCAAGCCATAGAACAACACATGGTGCCTGGGTTGACGTGAAAGCTTTTGAAGATTTCGAAGCAGAAATGCATGTGATACCTCCACGTTCACCAGATCTAAACCCCATGAATAGAGAATATGTTCCATATTGTGAAGAATGACTTAGAGCGCCAAGCTATTTGCGAGAATATCACGGCTGAATCTTTGAGCTAATTTGGAAAGAAAAAATTTTAAGCGTTAGATAATACCTCCGTCGACATTATAGATCGCTACTTCCGTCGACGTTATAGATCGCACAATAAATAGTATGTGTGGGAGCATTCATGCTGTAATTAAATCCAAGGTATTCCGAATAAAATATTGACAGCTTATGCTTATTTTTATTGCTTAATATTACGTAATCTATTAACTCAATTGCGACCGGAAATTCAAAATGAAATGTAAACATGTACAGACTGTACAGTTCTCGTCAACAGGAGCAACACTTCTCAGCATCATTTCCAATGATAAATATAGTATTATTCATTTGTCACACCAAACTTCGGTGACATTTCTTTTTGTATACAATTTACTTTCGAAGCTAAGCTGAATATTGTATAATAAAGTGGCTCACTTGCGACTTTCCACAGTTCTCACTTCTTGAGTAAATAAAACTGCAATTTTTTGTATTTTCTAAACTCAGTGATGATGAGAACTGTTGCAAATACGTATACAATGCACTTTCTATACACAAGAAAACATTTTAGCGGAAGTGCAGCTATGACTGAAATCAGAGTAGAGGGTTATCCGAAATATATCATAAAAACCAAGTGCGAAATTTCAAATTATATTACTGAGAAGTGTGTGTGAGTACTGGCTGTCTCTGCTTAATATGTTGTTTACGTGTGTTAACAGAAATGTTATTAAATATTAACTATCATTGTACGTGCGGTATTTGGTTATTTGTTTGTATTGTAAAACTAAAAGCGACCATGACATTATCTAAGTGTATCTGCTCTTCAGTTCAGTTCACTCTTTTCTACATCTTCGAGAGTATTATTAAAAATTATTATTTAAAAATATTTAACAACAGTAGCCCTATCAGTTACCTGTTTTTCAAGGGTAGTTTTCCGAGTATATAAATATAATTCATTAAAAGATCATCTAGTGTCAAAACGGCAAAGACTTCATTTTTAGTTTATCATCTAAATTCCGACAATCCTGGCCAAAAGTCCTTGGGACAACCCAAAATTTTCGCATGTTTTTATTGTTCTCTTCGGGGAAAGCAGATTTAACACAAAATATGCTTTTGAATCGAACCCCCCCCCACCCCCCAGCCGTTCAATGTTGATCTTGGGGGCACCCTTAACTAAAATTGTAAGAACTTTCAACATTGAATTGGGGAGGGCACGGGGGCGTTCTCTTTAGAATTCAAGGGTGGAAAAGGTTGAGTGTCCCCAACACTTTTGTCCAGGATTGTAGGTCCAGTTCTCTTTAACTTATATATGGGAGATCTACAAGATGAGAAATCATCCGATTGCAATTATCTACAATATACGGATGATACTAGTTTATACAAACATTGTAAGGTAAAGAATTTGGATAACTGTAGCGAGGTCATTGGGAGGGAGTTAGCCCGGGCTGATGGCTGGTCAACAAATTCGAACTTGCTTTTGAATCCTGGTAAAACCAAGATGATGATATTTTCCACAACACAGATGTATACCACTCACAATCTTTCTTCCCTGGATTTGGTTAAAATCAACATCAATGATCAGTATACTGAACGTAAGTCTTCTTGGAACGTCCTGGGAGTGGAACTAAATGAGCATTTAAAGTGGAATCCACATCTGGAAAAAGTAATAAGATCAACGTATTTGTCCCTGGCTTGCTTGAGGAGGCTGAAACGTTTCACGCCGTTCTCATTGAGAAAACAACTAGCAGAATTATTGATTTTATCCAAACCTGGATTATTGCAATTGCCTATACGGATCCTTGCCTGATTATTTGCTCAAACAACTGCAAAAAGTTTGGAATGCTGTGGCAAGTTTTGTGATTGGTAAATTTGCTAAAGTGAACGATGTACTAACATTGGGATGGCTACCAATCAAAGAAAGGATTGAGTTCAGTATTGGGAAACTGGCATATCAGGCCCTAAGAGATGACAAATGGCCAAGTTATCTATCGCTCCAAGTCAAAAGAGTTTCAAGAGTTCTGCGTAGTAACTGTGACGGTGGTTTGAAAATTAAATATTCTGACATTGAAGACAGTTTTCAATCCAATGCTGCTAGAGTTTTTAATAGTCTTCCAGAACATTTGAAACTAATGGATTTTAAAAATTATAAGATTACTCTTAAAAGAATTTTATTAGATCAAGGTAGAGAAAGGATTTATAAGGATTGATTAATTTTCTCACATAACCTGATTTTAAATTAACCATTCAAATTTATTTATATTGTAGTTGTAGTTGTACAAGACAGTTGTAAAAATTTAGAAATAGTTTGTTAGTTTTTTTAAATGTATGGATGAAGAGCCATGTAATATGGATATGCCAGATTAAATCTTTATTATTATTATTATTATATCATTATTAACAGAATAGTTCATCCACAGGCCACATCATGGAATGGCGTTTTTAAAAGAGAGATAACTGTGTTTCTTCGTTTCCACGGCGAGGTGGCATTTTTACGACCTACTTCTTTTAGCTTCCACGCATCTACAGGGTGTCCGAAAAAACCCAAAAACATTAAAATTAATACATTGTTTGAATTTGAATGCCATTTGAATGCAAAGATGATAATTTCTTAATGAAAAATCTCTAGTGGAATTTTGTCTCCAGAGTGAACAAACTATGCAAAATATTGTTGGAAAACCTTGTTAATTTACAACAAAGTGAGTCGATAAATCTTGTTTCATATTAATCTGACACTGCAATCGAGCAACGAAAAATTCGTTGGCTCGAGCGGGATTTGAACTCGCATCTTCGGGTATCTAGACCGCCGCTCTACCTATTGAGCTATCGAGTCAACAGGGATTGGTAGCGAGGCTTATCCAATTTAAGTGCACGAAATATTTTCGTGACGACTTAACGCTTGTCTTTGAGGACGCGCAGTGTTTCAATTCTATTTCAGAACCATCCTCAGAGATAGGAAAACTAGTTTCATATTAATACAGTTTCATATATGAATAGTATGTAATATATGAATATAGTGTAATATATATAGTGTAATATAGTGTAATATATATAGTGTAATATATGAATAATATAGTTTCCTATCTCTGAGGATGGTTCTGAAATAGAATTGAAACACTGCGCGTCCTCAAAGACAAGCGTTAAGTCGTCACGAAAATATTTCGTGCACTTAAATTGGATAAGACTCGCTACCAATCCCTGTTGACTCGATAGCTCAATAGGTAGAAAGGCGGTCTAGATACCCGAAGATGCGAGTTCAAATCCCGCTCGAGCCAACGAATTTTTCGTTGCTCGATTGCAGTGTCAGATTAATATGAAACTAGTTTTCCTATCTCTGACGATAAATCTTGGATAGTCAAATTTAATAAAGCAGGAATTTCAATTGGAACGCATGATATTGTAGGGTCGTGGTAAGGAACTGTGGGTGCAGGTTGCTGTCAAAGTAATTAGCAGATAAAATGATTGGAAAAGATGCCCTAATGTGTTCAGGAGGGCATTCAATCGGGCTTCAACATTGCTCTGTTCCACTCGCTGTTTGAAAGCAGCATTTATAATTCAATAATAATTAATATATAAACAAACGAAAGCACATATGTTTATCTCAAGCATAGTAAGACTCACAATGACCATGTTGTCATACATTTCGCCTTGCTTTACTGCGTTTTAAAATTAAAACTGAGTGCAAATAATTCAGTGTTTACAACTGACAACTGCATTCAAACAATTCTGTGCGCCATATTTTTCAAATAAGAATCACCAATTTTGCGTAATGATATTAATGAGGCTTTACGTGTGCTTATGTGCAGGTCAACTATTAAGTCATAAAGTATGCATAGGGATTAGAGTCAAAACAGATGATATATTGCCACCGCTGATTGGCTGGACTAGAAGCAAGAAAGTCCACTAACTAATGTATCTATTGATTGGCTAAAGTTAGTGAACCTACACACATTGTAGCATAGTATCTGCATTCGCACATACAAAAATGACAAAGTTTTAGTATTTTTGGTTTGAATTTTACATTTTATTGAAGCTATCAGACAACACTTTAAGGACATTTTTTGCTCTGTTTTCTTTTGCACTGAAATAATCAATATTAATAGTTTACATTGTAAAATATTTGGCAATAGAGGAAATTCAAAGTATTACTGCAAATTTTTTGTCAGTGAATCCAATTTCTGTGGTGATTTGTGGGCACTGTATATATATTGTATTGCACCAGTGCAATGCGACTTTGACATTTCATATCTTCGATTCATTGAATGCTATGAGGACAAAAATACAATTGTTCGATTCAGTGTAACAATATCTGCTCACCCCTAGCAATAGTTTTAGTCAATGGCAACATTACAGTGATTTATGAGCTTTGAAAATCATACAAGTTCGAATATGATCAAATTACACAATATTACTCACCAATTAAACATACCTTTCGCCAAAAATAACTTTGACCCCTTGAGACATATGCTCATTGTAATAGTTAGTCTTGTTCGATTGAGTAATCAAAACACTATTTACAGTGGTTATTTTCAAGTGTCTATCTTTAAATGGGATCTTTTATTGCTATATTTACATTTCTGGTCCAAGTGTGTGATAATCCCAACCAGATGCATGGTTTTAAAATGTTGAAACAATGAGACGCTTGTACCCCTTATTGGTCTGGAAACATTGGCTATCAATTCTAAAGGTCAAAGTGCCTCTATGGTTTGACATCATCCCGGCTACGGGAGTTCCTTACTTGCTCAAGTATAATTAGGGTTCGCAACTCTAAGTCAGTTACACTTTGGAACAGCTTCAATTTCCGGTTAATATTTTCTGATATATGCTACCTTCAGTGTGTTATGCAAAAGAAAGCAAATACATCATTTTAAAATTAATCTTTAAAAACAAAGTAGATCTCAATCTACAAAATCAGTGTGTTTTCGAAGCCTGCAGTTCCATAGTTATTTTGTTACAAAGCATCAAAGTTTGGGCATATTTGCCACCATTAAAGTCACACAGCACACATTTACTCACCTACCTGTCCCTCTTCAACCGATTTTCCACACATGAGCCCGACCAGAATTCAGGTTTAAAATAGCACCACCTTAAAGTTCAAAGCCTGAAGATCCTTCTGAACTATGAACTAGGTTGTTCTTTAACTTTTGAGCAGAAGACTTTGTATTTGAAAAGCCAATTTTGAAAAGCAAGATACAACTCAATTTAACACAAAATGTCTACAACAATAGGTATGTACATAAACTGTATGTTTTAAGGTTTCATTTGATATTTAATTTGTTTTGTTTAACGATCAAGCTCACTTGTGGAAATTCATTTGAATTTAGGTAATTTTGCATGTTCGCCAATGGCGTGAATGGACATGTGCTCGTGGAACTTTCAAAATTGGGATGAAGAGAACTGATTGCCCTGCTTAAAAATGATAAACTGAGTGATGGAAAGGTAATCATAATGTATGTTATCATTTATTTAACAAAATCATTAAAACAACCCGTAGTTTCATGGACAACCGGGAGGAAAGAGTGAAAAGAAGCCTTCATTTGCTTGACCCTAATATAATCATCCCCACGCATGCTTGCAAAACACCCAGAGGGTAATTGTACAGTTATTTTACAGCTTTATAAGAGCATGAGCAGGCATCTGTTGGCGATGATCGTCTGAGACTTGGAATTACTGACCAGGTATTGCATGATATACTGAATGTATTAAAAACAACAGCAAGTTGTTGGTAAGACCACAGTTGTATTTTTAACTAATAAGCTGGTAATTGAAGTGAAACAAGGGAGCAGATGGGAAAATCATCTGTTGACATCCTAACTTGGCTACATGTACTATTCTACCAATTGATGTTCTGAAAACCCAAAGCAAAGAAGGTAAGAAGGTCATAGAGGCAAGATAGATAGATAGATAATCTGTTTATTAAAATCATCTAGCAGCCATGCATAAAGCTGAATTACATGATTCGTATACAAAAGTGTTTTAAACCATTACAAAATTCATAATTTAATATTATAAAAGTAAGGTAAGATTGGAATCTGACAAGAGATCAGTATTTGCAAATTCGGTTGGTGAAATGACACTCGGAGAAGATTGCTCGTCGTTGGCACTGTAAGATATTTCACCATGGGAATTGGGTGCCATTCTTTCGAGGCGGTCATTCAAACTTTCACACTCTTTTGGTAGTTCATATCTCACCTCTTCAATGGCATATAATTGTTTTCCATTTAACTCTTTCCTAAGTCGATCAAAGACTCGTCTTGGTGACATTCCATTAAGCTGTTTGCTGTTTTTAACTTTCTCACGAATGATACCAAGCATAATCGTTTTGAGCTTTAATTCTTTGTTGAAGGTTTCTTTCACCATTCGTATTTCTTCATTTTTCCAAGGAGTCCTCTTCTTAGTTTCAGACTCATTGAAATCTGCCGAAACGTCAGCTTCACTTTCATCAGCGCTGTTTTTTGAGGCATCTTGATTCCGCATCGACTTCCCAAGTTTTGTTGAAGCTTCAATTGATGCTTTGTTTTCTCCCATAAAAGATAATATTTTTTGGCTGTAGATTTGTTGTGTGACATAAGTCCTGCAAGCTTTTCACTTAGCCTAGGATTGCTCTCATGCACTTTCGTTACTGCAGCTTCCCGGAACGACGTTGAGGTTACTTTGATATCGACTCCTGCTTTTTTAAAGACCGATTGAACAGCTTTATTGATCTGCCCGGACATTATGCTTCTCAAATTCCATGTAAAAAATACAGAGCTGGTACTGGTATCCGAGTCGGTAACTGCAGGTCGCATCACTCTAATGAAAACATGCATCCACACACTTTCAATTTTTTGTAATGGTTTTTAAGTAATAAATGATCTAATTTCAGTTTCTGTGTTTTTTCTTTGTGATTTCATGACATACAGTTTCCATGGCAATGATAAGTGTCCAACTGGTACATTATGTTGTTTTGTGTGTCATCAATGCACTCACTAATGAAAATATTGTGGTGATTGGATGAAATGTCTAGAAGTTATGACCTTATATGTAAAAAAAGCCTTAATTTTGTTTTCTTGTAATAAATAGTCTCTATCATGTGCATGCTCAAATAAGTCAGCCCTGGAAATCTCGATTTGAGTCTGTGGAGATTTTCGCATTCCAGGGGGCTCATTAAGTATTTAAGTTTGTTTGTAAAATGAGGGTTGTTTAATAAAAGTTTTTTAAACGCTGTGATCAGGCTCATCAAAGATCAACCTCGTTCCCAGGGTCTCTCCTTCTGTCATCTGGGAGAGACCCTGGCTGCGGCTGGTCACATGCCTCCCAGATTCTGGGAGGTAAATTTAATTGTAACTGTGAGAGGGGTGGGAAAGGAGTGTGTTTGTATAGCATTTTAAAATTGCAACTTTGGGTGATGAAATTTACTGTAAATTTGCAACAAGAAATCGTAAAGAGAACTCTTAAATTAATATTTATATCATGATGTTCTACTCTATAATCTGGTGTCGAGTTACAATTCAAGCAAGTTGGATCAGATTTCATTATAGACTTGCCAAAGAAAGCACGCTTGCGGCGGCTTGCCGCTTGTGCAGCATGGCAATATTAAACCTACAAGAAAATATATATCTCCAGACCGAATAGTGTGGTTGTTATTTAGTATTAAAGTCTATCCTGATACTCGGACCAAAAGAATTTATTTATTGATGAGATGTGGAATTGCAACGAAATAGCGAGATCTTTTGACTGATTTCCGAAATATCGCCAACTGTATCCAGATTGTTGATCTATATAAAGGCCTTATCAAAAAAACTTAAACTCGTCAAAAGACGATCATGGTATATATCAAAGTATAGCTGTCTGTTGAAAATCTACGGTATTAAAATCATACACCAAAGATAAGTCAAACGACAAATTATATGTCACTATATTTAAAATATACATGTCTTTCAATGAGCACTGTTTAGTAGTGTTCACCACCTTTATAAATTTTGTAAACAGCTTTCATTTTGACATGAATAAGCTTTAATTTTTTGCTTTATATGCATTCTTAATTAATAATACAAGTGAGATTTAAATTTTTGCTTTGTGAAATAGAATACCGTTATTTTTTAATGGCAGCTTGCATCGTCTATATCATATCCAGGATTGCTTGTGTGTAAACGCATTATTCAGTTTATGACACCATCAAATAAAAATAAGTAGCAAATGATTAATGAATTTGAGATAAACAGGTGATTCACAATGAAAACTTTAAAAATGTTAGTAGAAGTAGAAAACTCCAAAATTTATGTCTATCCGTATGACGCCAATAACGGTCTGTGCGCATCTGACACTGTAAATTTGTGATATATATTATAGTATGTTAACACAATATAATGATTAATAGAGACCAAGAAAAAGGCTAAAGTCTTACTTTAATTACCGAATACGAATTATGTACTAAATCCAGATAAATCAATGACTGAAATTTCCTCTATGGTTATGGACATTTCTCTGTTCGGCTATTATCAAATGTTTACATTTGCTAATATTGGGCCAGTCCTAGACAATACTGTTTCTTTTAAAAATCTTATAAACAAGACGCGTAGTAACAAGTGAATCGGTGCAAAGCGTATCAACGTTTACAAGAAAGGACGAATGTAATGGCATATTTTAAAAACATTACAATAAACGTTTATAACCGCGCTCGAGTGTGAAGAGAGCATGCATTGAATAACAACACGAGAGAGCCTGCAACTAACGATTTGCTTGGTTTCTTGACTTGGCTGTAAGTAAGAATGTAAGAATGTTCTTGTAAATTCAAAGCAAAGAAAGTAAACAAAAATTAGCAAGTATTTTGAACGTAATAATTCGCAAAATTTGTGTTTTTTAACAAATATCCCACTGGAAGCATGTCGATGTAATTTGATACTTTCCCCACACCCCCTTGGGCGCTAAATTTTTTATGAGGCACGTGACAAGCCGCAGCCAGGGTCTTTCCCAAAGAAAGATCCTGGGTATGAGGTTGCTCAAAGATGTGTCTTTAATAGGTGTCATCCGAAATATACTCAGTGTTTATTTATCGATGCGATGAACTGGTTTAATACAGTTGCGAGATATATATATATATATACCTGTGTGGCCAACATACTACACATGAATAGGGGCATACTTGGAAGCCTGAAAATGCCATTAAGTCCTGCATTCTGAGCATCCACATGTGCTCTAAAATTTATGCTAACTATACTTGTATTTGAAATAAAAGAAGGAAAAAATGCACAAAAAGTTTAAACAATTAACCATAATTTATCATTACTTATTAGAGGTGGATAGCAATGGCTGAAGGCTACGTGTGTGGGGGCATATTCCCCCAGAAAATTTTTGAAATTCCATCTGAGCATCCAAATTTGCTAAAGCCTAAAACTTACATTTTGTTTATAAAGCCTAAAACTTACTTTTTGTTTATCTATTTGTTATTCTTCACTAGTTTGTTTGTTTGTAAATTTAGGGAAAAGGGAATTTTCCTGGGGGGAATGTGATTTCATGGGGGCATAGGGGGGACTGGGGGCATTTGTATGTTTAAAAAAAGGCTCTGATAATGGTTCTTGAAAAGATCTTTATTTATGCTACACAATGTCTAACACCAGTACTTGTCCAATTACATATTTTATAGAAAAAAACTCTCAAACAAGCCAAAAAAGACCAAAAAATGAATGTATTCAATAGATTAATATTTATTACCCGTATGTAGATTGCGACATGTGCCCAGCGTCTCCCATCCCAGGGCTTTTGGGGTGTAGACCCTGGGTATGTTGATGAGTGCTCTGAGACCGGGACGAAATCAAATTTTCAATTTTCTTTTTCAGATGGCTTTTGCTAGCATGTGTTGTTCCAATGTCAAGATTACAGCCGAGACTGGTCTGAAATGTATTTGTGTTTACATTCCACCCGGTCTGAATTCATGCCGGTCTGAAGTCAGTCGGTTCGGTCCAGAAGGCGGAATGACTTGAGACCGGTCTGAGTTATTTTCGTTTCGGTCTCATGTAAACATCTATTATAGATAATACTATGACCGAAACGAGATGGTCCTGGTTTGCCTTCGTTCCGGTCTCATGTAAACAGGGCCTAAGAAGGTTTTGCAAACCATCAAAATCAAAAAGGTGGGAGGATTTGTGGCAAATATGATGGGAGCGACTCTCACAAGAGAATATATAGCAACCCATAGCTACAAAGGCCAAAAAGGAAAAAACGGACAGACAAAGCCAAATCTTGATCCACAGCATGCTGCTTCCCTGATTGGTAAGTTTTTGCTTGTATAAGTGATAGTGCATCACTACATATGTGAGTGTACAGTATGCTTTTTCCCAGAACACTATAAATATCTGACTAATGGCAATGCTAAATTAGTACTTACAGTAGCTTTTTAAAAGCTTTCACTTACAGTTATTCACTATGAAACAAATCATTGAAATGGCTTTAGGTATTTTACCAAATTTTAAATCTGCTTGTACATGTATTTATTTATACTTTCTATGTTTTGTGTAGAATATGCTAAGAGCGTGAGGTACACAGACCTATAGTGAACGCCATTAAATTTAAATTGAACAATAAGGAACAGGCTTTCAGAAAACAACACAAAGAGCAGCAAAAATCAACCAAGGAATGAATCTTATTTTACTGGCTTCAGCATGCGAGCAAACAATTTATTCTTTATAGAAGAACATAACTTATATGTCTGTTGTCTTAAATTGGCAAGAGAATTTATCGGTACATTGATATCCATAAATTGTTATTTAACTAAATTAACCAATTTATTTTATAGATTATAGTTTTAACTGTGAACATCAGTGACCTCATTAGTTTTAATTAGTAGTAGAACTATAGAAGTATAATGCTTTGCAGAGTACTGGTAATAAATAATACTATTACTAGTAACTAAATTTTGAATAAAACTATTAATGGTTTGTACATCTTTTGGTTTTCCCCAAAAATTTACAGTGAATGTTTAGAACTATGCTGACACAGGCAGGTTTACACACTACAATTAATCGTTGCGATTTCTCATCTGGAGTAGCAGTATACAATGTGGACTCATTTTGCATATATACTTCAGATTGTACTCTGTTAAAAGCAGAAATCAGCCCTATTTACTCGCAGTGTGTAAACATACCTCAACTCCAAAAAACTTTAGTTTTAAAATCTGCAGTATTTACTATAGTTTCTAAAACTGTAGTTTACTCAAACTATAGTTTTTGACATAAACTGTAACTTACTCAAACTATAGTTTTTTTTATATAAACTATAGTTTTTGTTCCAAAATACTACAGTTCTTAAACTATAGTTTTTGACCTCAAAAACTATAGTTTATTTTTGTAAGGGTTTCTTTGAAAAGGGGCATTTAACATCACCAAAGCCTAAAGGTGATGCTTTGTTCCTGCATGTCATGAATCAAAAAGTCTGGACTAGCACCCAACCATGGAAAACTATGGTTGACAATTAAACTACATGATGAACATACATTCACATCCCAAGTTCTGTTTTGCTGTGAGATATTGTTTCACTGCCTTCGCCCATAGATATCTTATATACACTAGATAGCGCATCTCATTTAGTAAAATTGAAGCCAATAATATTCCAGCGGTTACCCCCATTTGAATAGATGGCGGCCATGTTGGTCATTCCCACTTGCTAATAAACGCTTAAAAACAACAATAACTTTCATTATTTGAATAGTTTAAAAACGTATTTGGAATAGGGTTAACTTAATGTTTAAGTTCCCTGTTTAAGAAATAGAAAACATACGAATCTTCTCATTTCATGGGAACGACCTGAGACTGCAATCACAGCTTCAATTTTTGAATTGCAGAATAATTAGATGCACTATCTAGTGTATATAAGATATCTATGCCTTTGCCTCATTATCCTTTCCCATTCCATTTACATGGTGCCAGGCATTATGATTTTGTTGCTTTGTTATCTAACAGGGTATTCAGGATTGATTTGGGGTAGATAGATTTCCTTCTCTTTAAAATTGCACCAAAATTTTATGTAGTAATTTGTTTTGTCCTTTCATCATACCACCTGCTACATGTAGATTGCCTTCTGGTGTTTCTTTCAATTTCTAACAAGTGTTCCTTGGTAGTACATATATCTTTCACAAAATCAATGTTTTCAACATCTACATAGGACAAGTTTATTGCATATTTTCTCAAATACCCTAATACTAGGTCTCGAACATTACTACTGTTTATCTCAACTGCGTTTTGCCTGAATTGTGTGGATATTTTCTTTGAAGGAAGACTGTTATGAACCTCTTCAAATGGAAATGGTTGACAATCGTTTGATGTTAACTCTAGCTGTAAATATTCTGCCCTTCCTTCTTGTTCCAGTTCATTGGCAAACTCATTTATTTTACTCTGAGATGTCTGTCTAGCAAAGTGAGGTATAGGATTATAGTCTGTCCAGTGGCGTAGCTAGCGGTCATGCTGAGCATGACCAAAAATTTCCCCAAAAATAAAGAATTTCTTTCCGCTAAAATTCAACTTCAAATCTTTTAGCTTTTCGAAACTTTCACAAGTACTTTAGACAAGATTTCGCTATATTATGTCATTTTCGGCAAAATATTGCTCATTTGCATAGGTTACCTAGCAACAAACATGGCGAGATCGTGTGAATTTCGTGTGTACAGCATGTTCCACGCATTTCGCGGGCTAGTCGTGCCCTCTGAAATCAGCATGACCAAGTAATATATTTTATAGTAGAAATACTGGCAATCTGATTGGATAATGGCAACTGCGCATGCTCAAACGCGCTGTTTCGCAACATCTAGTCATGCTCATTTTCCAGAGCATGACTTGAGCCTTTGTCCTTTGATACAGTCTTTCTGTTCGAGATAATTCACGCTCGAATTAGTCGAATACTCCGTTCAGGTGTCAACTGATCAAGGTAAGTGAATTCGCATTGTATTAATTTGCATTTTAATGGCTTCAGGAAGCGTGACGGCTTCCACAGAGGCAGATATTATAAGTGATATGCTGAAGAAACCTTAAATTCTCTGCTCGTCAATATTAGGCGAGCAAAATATAATTGTAACACAACGGCCAATGCCGAATTTACAATCGATCAATGGAGATAGAAGCTCTCAGGAGAGTTGATACACAAAGAAAGATTGGCTTTGTGGTAGTTTTACTTGTTTAACCAAGAAGGCAATGTTTTGCTGGCCATGTTATGCACCTATCAATGTTAAGCCCCAGAGGTGGGGGGTCGGGCATATGTGGGGTACTGGGGCATTTGAATTTTTGAGCAAATTTTCAATCAAATGCCCCACCGTCGGGCAATAAATATTGGTCAAATACTTCACCATTTTGCAATAAATTGCAATAAACACTATATTAATAAAAGTCATTTGGTTCACATTGCCCTAACTCAGAGGCCCACCAAGGGGTTATGACCAACAGGTGACATTCCTTAAAAAGAGGCGACAGACTATGTACAAAAGAGTGACAAACGACAGCTTCTGACTGGGAAAAAGCGAGAAATTGTGATTTGTGTTATGGGTCAAAAGTGACAGTGACATTTATTGCAATAAAACAAGCGACAAAGCAGCTACAAAATGAGTGACAAGCGACCTGGGTTACACCCTTGATGGGCCTCAACTCTGGCCCAAAATGCTAATCAAAATCCTCAGGGGCTTAATTAACATTGATAGGTACATTATTATAATCCCTTGAAATTATATCAGGGAATATTAGATTTATTGGGGAAATATCTACATGAAAGTGGTGACCTCAAAATAAAATTTAATATTTCTTTTACCATAATTACCAATACCAGAGTTATACGCCTGTATTGTAAAAGCTCACCCACACTCAATGAGTGGAGGTTTAATCTGAGCTTACCTTGAGTGTCAATTGTTTTGAAATAGGTGGAGGGTGAGTAGTCACATAGTAAGGTTCGACACTAACTCCCCAGCTTTGCCAAAACAGCAATGGCACTCAAGAGAAGCTCAGATCGAACCTCCACTCATTGAGTGTAAGTGAGCTCTTAGCTAGAATATAGGCAATAGGGGAAATATCCACTCAAATGTGGTGATATAACTATTCCTGGGGAGATAACCACTTGACTTAAATGTGGTGACCCCAAAATATAATTTCATATCTTGCTTTTGCTATAAGGTCTATTAATTTTTTAAATAAAATGACCAGAGTTATAAGGGAAATATCCACTCAGATGTGGTGAGTCCATGATATAACTCTTCCTCGAGAGATAACCACTTGACTTGAATGTGGTGACCCCAAAATATAACTTCATTTACATGACCAGAGTTATAAGAGAAATATCCACTCAATGTGGTGAGCCCATGATACAACTCTTCCTGGGGAGATATTAAACCACTTCAGGGTCTGAAATTTGCAGTATCCTGATATCCACAGGATGCTAAAATTTGGCTTTGGATACCAAACTGCAAATGACTTGTATCCCAACTGGATACTAAGAAAATTTCAAACATTGATAGCTTTTGAATACTGTCTACAAGTTTGCCACCCAAGCCTTTCCTCATATGATGTGCATTTTTGTGTATTAATGAATTGTCTAGTTGTTGACAACTTGACTGTTGAATCTCCTGTTGTTATTGTAATTTGTAACAGCAAGAGTTATTGGATGGGACAGGGTATAATACTTATGGTAACCAGTATCAAGAAGTGGGATACTGCATTCTCAGGGGGATACTAAACTTTGAATCCTGGTATCGCAGTTGGATACTGAAAAAGATATTTAAATTTCAGACCCTGCACTTGAATGTGGTGACCCCAAAGTATAATTTCCTATTTTACTATAAGTTTTATTTTTTATTAGATGACCAGAGTTATATGGGAAATATCCACTCAAATGTGGTAGCTCATATAATATAACTTTTCCTGAGGAGAATGACTTGACTTGAATATGTGGTCACCCTAAAATTTAATTTCATATCTTGCTTAGATTGCTATGAGGTCAATTAATTTTTTAAGTAGATGACCAGAGTTATAAGGGAAATATCCACTCAAATGTGGTGAGCCCATGATATACTGTAACTCTTCCTGGGGAGATAACCACTTGAATATGGTAACTCCAAAATATAATTTCATATATTTTACTATAAGTTTTATTTTTTATTAGATGCCCAGAGTTATATGGCAAATATCCACTCAAATGTGGTGGCTCATGATGAGTGATGACATGTGGTGACACCAGGGGCGCACATCTAAGGAATTTCTAGGGGGGTGTGGGCCACTTGGGGACCGACTTTTTGATATTCAAAAATAAATTAAACAGAAGGGTAAAAACAATTCTGCAAAAACCTCATGCGACAGAACAGGGACGTGGGAATGAATGTGAAACCATGGGGTTAAGTCTCACGAGGCGCCACCATGGTTGGCGCCGAGCGAGAACATTTTCAACATTTAGGACTTCTAGGTCGCCGGAAACGACCATTTCAGAGTCTTAACTCTACCTTTTTGGTTGGCTCGTTCAGGTGTACGAACGAAGGATTAAGAAAATTCATCCCTTATTGAATAGTTCGCTCAATTTCTGCATTTGTTCAATCGATCTGTTCCAGATCAATAGAATCAGATAAGTCTTTTTCTGAACTGAAGAATCAAAACATGTGTATAGGCCTAATTGAGCTCGCGTGTGAATACCAGGACGTGTTTATTAGTAATATGTATGAGCTGTCATGAGAATATCCGTTCGCAGGCCACAGGTGCGAAATCGGATAGTAGCAGAGAGAGGGAGACGAGTTTATTTCTTCGAATATAATTGTTACTTTCGTTCGTCCATATAAAATACTGAAAATAATGAAAAATAGAAGTGTATAATAACAACTAGCAAAACAATAAAATCAAGATAATAAATAATCTGAATTAACCATCTAAACCTTAGCGGGTGCGCTACGATTTGACGTTTAAAAATAAAAAAATAGTTTCTTACACATTAACACATACACATAGGCTTGTTCATAACATCTTACCAACCAGCTCTTGTGTTGTCGGTCCCAATTCACGGAGTCGGACAGAAGTAAATATTAATTCTTATACCCGAATTTTGGGACCGAGTTTTTGCACAATATCAAGGATG